ATGTTAATTCCTTTATTCACATTATCTTTCACATGCTACCTTAAACACAGCTCTTAATAAGGGAAGATTAATGCCTGCAAATTTCCGTATGCAACATGCTAAAGTTCCATCAGGCATCAGTGAACTTTCTGCTCCATTTTGGGGATGGGGACTAAATGGCATCTGGAAGACTGTCTGGCTTTTGTATTTCTGATTCTGTGTAAAGACACCCACAGAAATTTGCACCATATTTCTGTTGCTGTGCTCTCTTGTACTTTTATATACATACTGATATGAGGAAAACTTTGCAAGAGAGAGATTCCTGTCTATGAATACACTGCAGCATATATTTAAACACAGACATATACTGAAGGAGAAAGCTATGTGATCTCTCTGCATCTCCTCCCATTGTGCAAGGCTGCAGCACACACAGCAGTCACCCCTTTCTGTGAGCCAAACCGGTGAGCCATGCTTGAAGCAACCTCAACATAGGATTTATATTCAAATCATGGGGGGGGGGGGAGGGAAAGCATTTAAAATCAAAAATCATAACGGTCACATATATCTTTTCTTTCTAAAGGCTTGCCAATGTGATGCACAGGCTCACAGTCTTGCTACCTGACTGCAGCAAGGTTTCCCAGGCTCCATTCAGCCTTGCTGTCCTGAGCTGCAGGATGAGCAGGCGGTCTCTGCTGATCAAAGGCCTTTTTGTTGTTGGCTGGAAGCAAGAGGAGCCACAAGTCTGAAGCAACAGGAAGGCTGGCCCTGCGTGAGTGCAGCTTCTGTGAATATCTGAGAGCCCAACTGGATTTTGCATCACTCTGAGGTGAAAACATTTCTCTTTTCCTTCCACGGAAAAATACATAGGTATACTTATCCTGACTTGTAATCCCAGACCCATTATCCTTGCCTGTGCTAGCATGTACTGCCTAAAGAGAGACAGATAGACAGTGGGGATATTACATGTCCCAACAGGAAAGCCCTGATTTCATTTCACAAGTTATCTGTGGCCTTATTGCATCAGAAATGTCAGCCATGAGTAATCCCAGAAAGGCTGTGACTGATGGGGAGCAATAAATAACACAGGCAGAGGAGTCCACACTGCTGTGTTTGTACAAGTGTGGAGCTGGTTCTCCCATTTGGTAGTTAGCATTCTCTTGACTATGCATCCCAAGTCTTCCCCTAGTGAGATGGTGAGTATGCAGCTGCAAGCTGGCCCTGCTCTTGTCCTTATAACAAAACATAGGGCCCTGCTTTGATTGCTGCTGCTCAGATTGGTATCAAAGAGCATGCTCAGATGGAAAGATAGGAATAACTTCCCAAATGCCAAGCAGTTGATCAATCTCCAGTGCAGTGAAAATGTCATCTGTGCTTGAAAATATGTAGCTGAAAAGCTTCTTTCCTGGCACGCAGAACAGGGTGATCCTCTCCTCTAGGTGATCCCTGCTTACCTCCCACAGTGACAAGAGCTGATGGCCTCAAATTGTGCTAGAGGATGGTCAGCTTGGATATTAGGAAACATTTCTTCTCCAAAATAGCAATGAAGCAGCTGCCCAGGGAGGTGGTGTGGTCACCATACCTGGAGGTGTTCGATGTGGCACTGAGGGACGTGGGCAGTGAGCATGGTGGGAGTGGATTGGGATTGGGCTTGGTGATCCTAAAGGTCTTTTCCAACCTTAATGATTCGATGATTCTATCTCATATCAGTGTGTTCAGTAACCTATAGACTTCTAATAGTGTTCTGCTGACCTTATCCTGAAAAACAACAGCTTGCTCCTGACTCACATTGTGTTGCTCCACTTTTTTCTCCTTTTGATCCGATATCAGTAACAGACAATGAATAAGAGATCCTGTAAATGTCACACTCTACAACATGTCTTAGAATAGCATAAAGGATAAAATTTTGCTACCACAGACTGCAAAACTTCCTACGGATTTTGCTGCCAGATTTTGTGGTGTCCTGCATCATAACAGAAGTACACTATTGAAAATAGTGAAGCTGGATAAAAAAAGATTGTGTATCTTCAAAGTTTGAACTAGTTTAGATTGTGTATCTTCAAAGTTTGGACTAGTTTATCTTACAAATAACAATTTCCCATTTGTGCTAAAAATGGTACTACTTAGAAAGCAAATCAAGTCAAAACAATGATTCTTATGTCCCCAGATAAGCAAACCCTAATGAGAGTTCACCACTACTGTAAGCCACACTGTGCCTAGTGGAAAAGTTAAGCATGTGAATAGCACCTCCTATCACCAGCAGACAGCAGGATGGTATTGGGGTCAGTGGTAGAAAGTTAGAGGATATGGTATTAATTAGAGAAAATAAGTCTTAGACAAATTCAATTTCTTTCTATCATAGATGGAATATGCTTATACTTGGGTAAGGCTCAGTAGTGCACAACATCAAAAATAACATTATGCAATATCAAGAGAGTACACAATAAGGTTGCCAGGCATCAAATCCCATGTCCCCTATTAAAAGCAGATGGGATATTACCTTTTTCATATTTCCCATCTGCTTTTAATACAGATTCAGGATCTGAAGCTGAAATATACTGCTGTCTGCTCCCCTCTCAGCCTTGCTCCTCTCAGCTCTCTCTGCAGATAAGGGCTGCCATCTGGGTTTGCAAATAGAGGCTGCAAGAAGGCTCAAAGGAGCAAGATGAGGACAGAGGAAGGAAGGACGGAAAGGACTGTTTGTTGCTGTGGAGGAGAGGAGAAAATCACCTTCAGAGATTGAGCCTTGGCACAGAACATCAACAAAAAATTACTACAGACAAAGCTGACCTACAACTAGTTAACTGACAGAGCTCAAAAGGTAGTTCCCACTGGGAAAGTCATTCTCAAGTGCAGGGCTGTTCTTCACTGTTCTGTTAAAATTAGGTGCAGGCCTGATGCTGTACATACCCACACACATATGTGCATACATGTATCACAGAAATCACAGAATCATTGGGTTAGAAGGGACCTTTCCAATCCAACCCCTTGCTAAAGCATGTTCCCTACAGCAGGTTACAGCTCCAGAGAAGGAGACTCCACAACCTCTCTGGGCAGCCTATATCATTGCTGCCACTCTCACAGTGAAAAACATTTTCCTCATGTTTGTATGGAACTCTCTGTGCTCCAGTTTGTGTCTCTTTTTCTGTCACTGGGCATTGCTGAGAAGAGCCTGGCCCGTTCACTTGACATAATTTCCTCTTAGTGAGTCCATGTTGAATGATAACCTCTCTTTCTTCCACTTGCTCGGAGATAACATCCTGAACAAGCTCCTCCATCACATCCCATAGGTGGAGCTGAAGCTGATGGTGCCTGACTCCTCCCTCTTGACCTTTTTGAAGACTGGAGTGGCATTGGCTCTTCAGGCACATCTCCCGTTCTCAATAACTTTTCAAAGATGATAAAGAGGGAAATTGCTTCTGCCAGCTCCCTCAGCATTCATGGGTGCATCTCATCAGGATCCATGGTTTTATTTGTGCTGATTTTGCCTAGATCATCTCTGACCACATCCTCCTTTCCCCAGACTGTCTCTCTCAACTCCAGGGTCTGGGATTCCTCATGGACAGTCTTAGCAGTAGAGACTGAAGCAAAGAAGACATTCAGCATCTCTGCCTTCTCAGCATCCTGTCACAAGGGAACCCACCTCATTCAGCAGTGGGCCACATTTTCCCCTGTGTTCACTTTGCTACTGACATACTTAAAAAAGCCTTTCCTGTTGCCCTTGACCTCCCCCACAGAATTAATTCCAAGTGGGCCTTAGCCTTCTTTGTGGCATTCCTGCAGGCCCTGACAATATTCCTGTACTGCTCCCAAGTTGCCAGACCCCTTTTCCATATTCTATAGAGCTCTTCTTCCATTTATGTTTTTTTCTCTATGAGCTTCTTGCTCATCCCTGTGTGTTTCCTGCCACCTTTGGCTGATTTCTTACTCTTAAGGATGCACTGATCTTCAGCTTGGAAGAAGTGATGCTTGAATGTCAACCAAATTCCAGGCCCTTTCACTGTTCTAACCTTGGGATGCCTCCAAGTAGGTCCTTGAAGAGGTCAAAAGTGGCTCTTCTGATGTTAAGGGTTGCAATCCTACTTATTGCCTTATTTATTTCATTTCCTCATGAAATGACTATCTCACGGTCGCTTCATCCAAGGCTGCCCTCAACCTTCAAGTTCCCAGCCACCCCTTCCCTGTTTCTCCTTACAAGGTCCAAAAGCACACCTCTCCTCATTGTCTCCTTCACCACCTGCATCAGAAAGTTATCTTCCATGCATGTTATATATTATGTATGCAAATATGTATATACATTACTTACAAAATGCAAAATTGCATTTTTTTTTTTTTCTGGCTTTAAGTATTAAAGCATATGAATCAAGGTGGTCAGGCACTGGGATGGGCTGAAATGGTCTGCCCAGGGAGGTGGTGGAGTCACTGACCCCAGAGGTGTTCAAGGAACATTTGGACATTTGTTGAGAGACATAGTGTAGTGAGAACTATTGGTGACAGGTAGACAGTTGGACTGGATGATCTTGTAGGTCTTTTCCAACCTTGGTGATTCTATGATTCTAAGGTTTAGGCCTGTGAGTGATTTAGGGCAATAACTTGTCTACCACAGCACATTTCTGGCATGACATTTACAAGCACTCATAGATTTAACTGTTAAGAAGTTAAGGGCTTTAGTAGTTTGAACTCTTAAGAATCACTGAGTTTACCTACTACTTTATAATTTCATGGCAAGACTTGCATAAACTCTATTCTTGGATTAAAATAGCATGGACAGCTTTATACCACATAGACATCCATGAGTACCAAGAAAATGCCATGATAATTGGGCTAGATCAGAGTCAGGACTCTAGTTAATACTTCACCACAGCTCTGTTAGGGGAACTTTTTAATGTGCTTTACCTCAGTCATATTTCAGTAAATGGGGAACTTACTCTGTATCTTATTAAGCAGGTCAAGTGGTTCGATTCACTCAACCCACTTTAATCAGCATCAACAATTTTTTTAAGATACTGCAGGAGCACACTTACCTCCTATTATCTCTTCCTGAGAACAGTAAGTCAGGCTGATTCACCATTAGAGTATCAACTGGTAAGCCCAGGGCTGTCTGAAGGTCTCCAGTCTGATGAGCATTGATAATTGCACTAGCCAAGATCTTTAAACTGTCAATTGTTAAGGAAGGCTGGAACTCATTTATTTGGTGGCCTGGTGGATCACCAAATTCAAAAATCAGCACTTTTGATGGACCAGCTGCATCAGACGGCTGCACAACTCGAGCATTTACAGTCCCTCTCCCTCGTTTCTGTGATCCAGATCTGCTATGAAAGGTGGTGCAAAACGTCATGTTGGGGCAGTGATATTTCTTTTTGCTATCATTGTCTGAGATGACTTTCAACATGCTTTCACCTCCCGGCACTCGATGGACTATTCTGACTTGGTCATGGCCAACCTGCAAGAAATCAGCCAATCGATGCATGATATTTGCCTCACCCTCTTCCCCAGTGGTCTCAGTCACAGTGAAAGCCACATGAAGAGAAATGCCAGTGACTATTTCTACAGGCTCCTCTTCATGAAGGAGGACATAGAGAAGATTGTCCTCAAAGCTAAAATAATTGGTTCCTGCCCCTTCATTCCATGAGAAGGAAGATGGAGTTGGAGAAATATATTTCCCTTCAGTGAAGACACGAAGGCTGAGGGGTTCGTTGTAGAAAATAGCAAGGGGCAGTCTGGTTGAGTTCTGCCCACTGAGGAGGTAGAGTCTGAAAATCAGAGGCGTTAGGTCTGGGAAGCAAACTGTTGTGAGTTTGGAGGTTGTCAGTACAGAGAAGAGAGCAGAAGGATGCTGTGCAGAACGACATGATGCATCTGAAGCTCCATCACTGAAGGTATCCATAAAGCTGCCAGTCACTGCTACTACTGGAAACAGCTCCTGCTTGACCATGCTGGGGTCTAAATTTTCCAGGATGACAAATGCATAGTCTGTCTGTTTGCAGAAGTAGCCTTGTATTGAGGGCTTGAAGATACACTTGCTGTCATCTCTGTAAATTCCTGGAAGGACAAGTAGAGGTGGGGAAAGAAAAAAAAAAAAAAGTATCAGCAGATGTCATCTCAACAGTTTGTGCTACAGCTGCATATTTTCCCATTTGGTGCTCAAAGTCAGGTGACTAAAATTCTAACTAATTGCAGGTGCTAAAATTCTAAATAGTTTTGAGAAGTCTGGACACTATTGGTATTAAACAGACAGAAACTACATCTACATGAAGAAGACCTTGACCTGAAAGTAGTTGAGAACCAGTAGTACGTGGGCTGCTCTGAAAGTAATGCCCTCTATTTTATGATGTTTATGGACGTTGGTGGGATGACAGTAGAGGTGGAACCTTCCCAGCAATATTCTATTACATGTTGTTGCCATGTGACACATGGCAGCAGAGGGGCAGTGACAAGACGTGGCGTCACTCCTATGAGTCAGAGTCAAAACAGCAATCCATGGAGTGAATTCCCCATTGAAGAAAATGCTAAAGACACAGATCTCAGTAGGTAAAGTGATTTGCACTGGGTGATCCTTCTGGATTTCCCGGAACCCAGACAAACCATCAACTCAATTAGCTACATCACGGTGCTAATTAAGACTTGAACTTCCAAAGTCAGGCCAGAGAAGACAACCTTTCTCTTACAGCCCCAATGACAGTCTGAAGACCATGGACCACATAGCTCATCTTGGCTGGGCCATCCTACTACACCCACAGTCTAGTCTGAATTCTGCATACCCTAACTTGCACCTGTTCAGGCTGAAGAAAAATGGACTGCCTGGACAACATTTTCCTAGCAACAATGCTATCATAATAGCTGTGGAATAGTGAATCATCTCCACTTGTGCAGATTTTTATGGTCAAGGCATGTGGATTCTAGTTCATTGCTAGTGATAATACACGGCTAATGGTGGTGACTTTGTCGAAAAAGTGTTTTGTAGTTGAGAACTTGCTCTATCAAACAGTGCTATTGTGCTCTCTGCATCTGTTGTAGTTTCCATGGAAACAAATAAGAGGCAATACTTTCAGAATGCCTTACACACATTTGCCCTCTTCATTCTAGACACTTAACTGCGCCCACTGTTGAAGGAGTAAGTATGACAGAAGGACAATTGCTCAAAGTCATTTGGACATCTTAGGGTAACTATGCCTATAAGTCTGACCCATGGGAATGCAAAAGCAACTTTAGGGAATACTTCATGTGAATCTTTTTTTCATGAAATGTAACAGGAGCTAAGACACTTCCATACATTCCAGAATCTGCAAGCCAGTCCTTTTGCAAGTGTCTGAGGAAATGAGTCACTAGAACCCTTTTATGGATCTGTGCAGAGGAGATATAGTCCATGCAGTCCTCTGAGTTAGGATACGTTCCATCTGATCAAATATAAGTCTCTGCTTTAACATGAGAGAAATTGTGCCTCAGGCCACAGTGATGAGATCATCACTGATTATAAAGAGAGAATAAAAGTAAATGAGTTCAAATACAGGCACCAACAACATAAACACTTCTGCCCGAAGCATCCTAGGAAAAGATGTGTGTTTCTGTTTTTCCTTCCTTCCTTCAAAACAAAATCAAAGGAGGAATTTGCTGCCATAGCCAGCTATAATCCTCCTTTCCTCCCAAGCCCGCTCTCCCCTAGTTAGCTGTGCTTGTGAGTGCATTAGGCAAATCTCAGCCAATGTCTAAACTTGCTGAGCTCCTTGTTCAGTAGTTCTGGGGGTGTGTATACAGACCAGCAATGTTTAGTATTAATGATAAAGAGACAGACATCCGTGAGAGCCAGAATGAATAAAAGGGCATTTGTCTTATTAAAGAAACATCACGACTGGGAAAGTCATTACTAGGAGAAAATGACAGGATGCTGGAAAAGAGAGGAGCTAGGAGAAAGCAGGCTGGATCCTGCTTACTGCCACATCTTGGCGTCAGAATCCCGTGGACATTTACCTATGACTTATTTCAAGGGGATTCCGCATGTGCAGACTCAAAGAGCATTTCTCACTCCATACATCACAGAGGAAAGCAGTGAAACTAAACAAACCTCACACGCTGCTCAGGAAGGAGGTCCCAGTGAGACAAGATCTATAGAAAAAAAAAAAACACTCTGTTTTTTGACACCACCTTGTTGTTTTCCCTTTTCTCCCTTTTTCTTAGCTTTGCCTTTCCCTTTCTAGCTGTTTTGCAATGGGTGTCTGGTAGGGGCAAAGGGAGAGGGAGCAGCACCTTTGTTTGGAAGCAGCACGCGGATACCAGCTGCAGCCCTGCAGCATGCAGCCAGCTCCAAAGGTTGGCAGATCTCATTTGCTCTGCTGGAAACGTTCAAGTCACTCCATCTCCCTGCAGAGACACGGGACCTGCTGATATTTTGGGATTTCCTAGGACTTCCCTTTGCCTTGCCTTTGCTCACTTCCCTGCACACCCATGCATGCACACGCACTGCTGCTCGTCTCCTTCCAAACGGCCTTATCTGCCACTCACAATTTCTGCAGCCTGCAATTTTGATCACTTTTAAATGAAACCCATGCTGGCCTTAGTAATCATAATGTCATTTGCAATTTACCACAAAACACGTTTATTCAGTTAGTAGCACATTGGAGAAAGAGAACTCCATATGAACTCGCCGCTGAAGCCCTAATCTGATTATTTCCTCATGAAAATCCAAGCAGGGGTGCTTGTAAGAGGGGCTTGAGAGGAGAGGGGAAAAGTGAGGCCTGGCCACAGCTGACTCTCATAATCAATGGGAACAGATAAGCGACACGGTGCGTCAGGGCCAGCAGCTAATCCGCCCCAGGGCTTTCCTCTAAAAAAGGCCAGGGTGGACAGGGCTTAATAAATACTGAGTGACCACCGAACATTGAGCTGACATGTGCTATTTACATTGGCAATGAGCAATAACAGTGATAAATTCCAGAAGCTCCCCTCGTTCGTAAATGGGGTGAAATCAGATTAAACGGGTTCTATTTGTGCGCGCGTGTTGCGTTTGCACTTATGTTAGAGATGGGGAAAAAAATGGGGGGAAAACGAGAGAAATCAAGCATGTGTGAGTCACATAGCAAAGGGGGTTGAAACTAGATGATCATTGTGGTCCTTTTCAACCCAGGCCGTTCTATGATTCATTCTATGAGTCAACTGGAGACCCTAGGAATGGGTGGGAAGATGGAGGAGAGGTTGTGTGTCCTGCTTAGTGCATGAAAGAGAGAAATAGGAGACAGGAAGCATCTGCGCCTTTGCTTTCTGCAGATTCCCTTACCATCGAGCCCACATTACTATTTAATTATAGATATACACATGCACGCACACACGGCCACACACAAACATATATATCTATATGAGATTTGAGCACTCAGGTTGCTTCCAGGGCTCCTGACAAATATTAACTTTGTGTCAATATTTGTCCTTCCTGTCGTGAAATGAGGATTTTCCACCTCATTTCACATTTGAAAAGAAAAATGTGCCGAGGGGGCCCTTTTTGCTTAGGAAAAAAAAAACAAAAAACAAAAACAAAAATAACAACAACAACAAAAAACCAGCCAACAACAGCAACATCTCATATCCTTTATTTAGAAAAATGGAGCGGGAGGGAAGGAGGGAAGAGTGCTTTTAAAATAGATGTTTTGACTTAAAGGCACATAGAGTCCTTTGCAAGTCTCCTGCCTTTTCCCCAGTTCCCCAACGCCAAATAAATAAAATAAAATAAAATAAATTCTACATTTAAAATCGAATGAAATACATCAACATTAATGATTTTCCCCTTCAGGTTAACACCACCATTTCCTTCAATAATTTTTTACCCGTTTCATGATAGATCTCACAATTCGTGGTACAAGGAAAAATACAGTAGGTTTTTTTTTTTTGTCGTTTTGTTTTTTTTTGACAAAAACAAAAGGCAACGTCAAGTTTTTATCAAAATAAAATAAATCTCCCGCAATTTTCTTTCCATCTGACTGGATTTGCCCGTCAGTTATTTCTAATTTAACTACAATTATAGTTACAAAAATATAAAAGCAAGCAGGGGAGGGAGAGGGAGAGGAGAGATAAATGGGACGCTGTTTAGAAATTGCGATTCATTGGCCTTGGGCTGGCCAGCACATATCTTTGCTGAGGGGGAAATATTCATCAGCATTAACTGTTCCTTTTGACCCGCTGACATTCAAATGTGAAATAAGAAAGGCCCAGCAACAGGACTTGGGAAATGTGGCAGTGTGCAAAGGTAAATTATTCTGAGGTCAATCGTTTTTGTCGTGCAAAAGGTTTTCTACGTTTCTTGAGCTCAGATGTCCCCTGTAAATAATTTTGGACCCAATTCTTCTATCCAATCCCTAGCACAGGCTCCTCGTGCTTATGTGCTCATCCTTTGAAACCGATGGCATTCATCTTGTAAATCTTCGTGTGCAGAAGTGCAAGTGAGCCTGCCACCTTCAGCAGATGTTGAGACAAGTCATTCCCCATCATTTTTAGAAACCCCACTGATTGTAAATCAGGAATATCATGCAACTGAATGTACCAGTGTCCACACAGAGGGTAAAGATACAGGTAAGCCTCTTCTGCACAACTAGCAATATGACGAGAGGGAATGGCCTCAGGTTGCACCAGGGGGAGGTTCAGGTTGGATGCTAGGAAAAATTTATTCTCTTTTAAAAGAGTGGTCAGGCAGTGGAATGGGCTGGTCAGGGAGGTGGTGGAGTCATTGACCTGGAGGTGTTCAAGAAATGCTTAGATGGGCTGCTAAGGGACATGGTGTAGTGGGGAATTACTGGTGGTGGGTGGATGGTTGGACTGGACAATATTGGGTGGATGGTTGGACTGGATGATATTGAGTGGATGGTTGGACTGGACGATATTGGAGGTCTTTTCCATCCTTGGTGTTTCTATGACTCCATGATAAGCAATGCCAGGAAGTTTTTGCACGCAGTGTGTGCTGGGAACAGACACATGGCATGGAGGTGAGTGTGATTGCTCATACGTTTGTGTAAGCACATGTATGTGTGAGACAAATGCACATAAATATATGCAC